AAGGTATGGCTTCTGCTGAAAAGCTTTTCCACATTCATTACACTGATAAGGTTTCTCCCCTGTGTGAGTTCTCTGATGTACAACTAGGGACAATTTCCAGAAGAAAACCTTCCCACATTCATTACATTCATACATTTTCTTACCTGTGTGATTTCTTTGATGTGAAATGAGGGATGACATCCTAGAGAAGGGTTTTTTACATTCACTGCACTGATAGTTTTTTTCCATCGTCTGAGTTCTCTGCTGTATACCAAAGGCTGCCTGACAACTGAAAGTTTCTTCAGGTGTCTTATTATCGACAGAGAGCTCTATTGGGTTAGTTCTCTGTTGTACGTAAATGGCTAAATTGTTGCTCAAGTTTCTCCCACACTGAAGGGGTTGGACTCCTGTATGATTTCGCTGATATTCTCTGAAATGAGCTTTTTGATCACAATTTTTCTCTCTTGTATCAGTTCTCTTTAGGTGAGCAACCTTCCTGAAACTGTTAACAATTTTATTACATTTATCTTGGTGAAATTCACAGTAACTCTTCTCTGTGTGAATACCTGCGGAGATGGAAACAAAGGATGATTCATCATATAGGTTACTTCCAAATTTATAATAAGATGCTTCTTTTGTGTAAGCGCTGTTCTATGTAATGAAGGCAGCCTTATCATGCGAAATATTACCACGTTCATTACATTCAAAACACTGCCCCAAAATAATTCCTCCAAACAACTAAATGTTTACACATTTTGATTGTAATCAAAAGACTTCTCTCTAGAATTTGTTGTTTCATTTCTAGTATTGGCATGAGAGGCATTAAGTTCATCAGTATTCTTTTCTGAGTCGTTATGAGGAGCCAATGGGTAGAGATCCAAGGATGTAGGCCCCACAGTGTCACAGGTAAGAGTATTTTTCTTGAAGGAACAATGTCTGCATGCAGATTAAATGGTTTTCCTGAAACTTTCTCTTGTTCTATAGTCAAAGGTCTGGTGGTGGTGAATAAAACACCAAATAAATACTTGACTTGGTTTTCCTGGCTCTTCTCTAAAAGACCAAGTAGACAGTCTTCTAAAAATGAGAAAGTTAAAAAATTTCTTATGAAATAGCCATGAAGTGGATTGGGATATCTACAAAATGGAGAAATTAAAGTAGGCTAAAATATCCCATGATTATCTTATAGAAGTAGGAATCTTAGCCAAACCTTAAAGTGTAGTAATTTTTAAAAAATAGACTTTCCTTGTGTCCATGCATGTTCAGAAATTTAATGAATTTAAGAATATAGAGGGGCCGGCCGAGTGGCGCATTTAAGAGCTGGCTTGGGATGCCAGAGGGCCCCGGTTCGGATCCCACATGAGGGCCAGTGACACTGCCCTCTACAGCTAAGATGCTGAACAACAGCTCGACCTGGAGCTGGGCTGCCATGAGCCACGGTGACAGCATAGGCTGCAGCCCCTGCTGCAGTGGGCTGCCATAAGCTACCGTGTGTGGGCAGCAGCCAGTGTGAGCTGCCAAGAGCCACCGTGAGCGGCCGTCCAGAGGCCAGTGACCAATCTGCCTCACCCGGGAAAAGCACAATGATGGGACCCACATGGGCCAGTGAGGCAACGTCCTCCACAACTAGGCTGAAGAATAAAAGGACAGCAATTTGTCTGTTCCCCTTCCCACAATACCCCAACACTGTTCCCCTACTGTTCCCCTCCTCCAATTCCCCAATAAAACCTTAAAAAAAAAAAAAAAGAATTTAGATAGAAAAAGCATACAATAATGGAAAGTATGATGTAGGGAAGAATGTCACATTCTTGATTGTGACACTTAGGAGAGTGGATCACATAAGCTCTGGCAACACGGTAGGCAACACAAATACATCTGATGATGCAAGAAGAGTTCATATTTGATAGTCACTAACATAACAGTAATTTAAATTTCATATATTAAGTCATATGTAAATCCTATGTATATAAGCCATGGGATATTTTGTGAGTCCAGAGAAAGGTGAATTGGATGCATTATGTAAAACTGAACTCTAATAAAAAGGAATAACCAAAGTATTAAGGAGCAAGACTCTAGTTTTGTGGAATGTTATTACACAGTGAGAATATAAAAAGACTGAGTACAGAGGAAAACTGAAATGTCAGAAAGTGTTGAAAGATCTGTATGAGGATGACTGTGATTAGCATTCAGCACTTTAAAGTGATTTCATGGCTGTCTGTTAAGAGAGTTAAGTAGTAAAACAAAATAACTGTGGAATAAGTGGAAAAATAATTTCTGAGTTGTGAGAGAAAAATCTCATCTTCATTTGGTCATTTTGAGAATAAAGGCACCATGACACTGAGGTACAGCTGCCCTAAAGGTGGGACGAGGTCATCAGGATGAGGCAAATAGGCCTGAATTACAGGGATGGATGACACAAACATGGAGGGAGTTACTGTACAGGAAGAAGAGCAGACAGAGAGGGCAGAGCTCAGAGACAGACAAATTAGGGGGGAGAAAGGAACTGGGAATCAAAATTTATTCACTCACAACTATCCATTGTACGCCTATTCCTAGGGATACAACATTATACCTGGGAAATGAAATGTGAATAAGCACTCAGGGAATCATGAATTTGGGAATCATGATTAGTACCACCATAGGAAGCAGAAAATGTATGGGAGGGAGGAGTAGGACTCTGAAATTTTCAAATAGGACATATAAGTGGAGATTTAAAAATATGATTTCAGAAGTAAAAGGAGCTGATGGGTGCTTAGGAGAAAAATAAAAACAAGGGAATAGATGGACAGCTGGAGAAAAAGAGAGCCAATATATAATAGGTTGTCATGGAAGGCCATACTTAGAAAATGATGACAAAATCAGAATTCTTCATTAAAACAACACATTTGTGAGGAATGTGTATAGCAAGTACCTCCCACTCATTACTCTGTCCCTTCCTAGTTGTCACACATGGAAACCAAAACAAACACACATAAATCCCTTTGGTATAAATCCATTAAAAACTGAGTTTTGTGGTAGGGTATAGAGCTAAGGCACAATGCAAGTTTTCATATAAATGGCTTTTGCAGCTTTCTACACTGTCACCCTGTTCATAAATCAGTAGTCATTGGAGCACAGATTTGTTTCTGGGTTCTCTACTCTGTTTCAAAAGGATCTATAATTATCCCCATGCCAGTACCATTCTGTACGAGTTACAACAGATTTACAATATATCTTTAGTACCTGTTAGAAGAGATCCTACACCATTCTGTTCTTCAAGCATATTTAAACACATGGGTAAGAATTTAGAATTTTAAAGCACTATTCTAATCTATGTACCTGATATATCCATTTACTTCAGTTTTATTTCATGTTGCTCAAAGTTTTCCAAAATTTTCTTATTTGTGCAACTGTATTTCTAAGATACTTGCATTGTGACTTATGTTTTCTCTCCTTTTTCCAGTATAGTACAGCTACTGTATGCATTTTCTTTAACTGTTTTTATTCCAGGAACCATGTTTTGGTTCTACTTAATTTATACCATTATAGCTTTCCAATTAATCAAGTGAAAATAAAAAAAAAAATAATAGTTTCTAGTTTGCTTAAGTCTTCTCAACATTTCTTGTTCTTCAGACATTCTATTAAGCAATGCTATACCCATATCCAAAAGTTGTGTGCAGGAAAGGGTTAACTCAGCTGTTTTGCATTTTTCACATCCTGCACATTCCAAAGAAATGACTGCCCTCTGACCAACTCTTGGGGGACAACTTGTAAGCCCATGGAACATCCTGCCTGATAATAGTGTCTCTCCACACTTGGGGGCTTGGGCCATACCAGATACTTCAGGCTAACACTGGGATTTATGGTTGGATCCTTGGGCCTCACTGGAGGGGCTATACTGGAGAAAATAAGATCAGTCACACAGGTGCTCTGGCGCTACATGACCAACCCAATAAAAACCTTGGACACCAAAGCTCGGGTAAATTTCTCTGCTTGGCAATACTTCACATGTGCTGTCATACATCGCTGTTGGCAGAATTCAGCACTTTCCACACAACTCCACTGGGAGAAGAAAATAATTTTGTATCAAGTGTCTCTTGGATTCTGCCCTCCATGATTTTACTTTTTCTGATTTTATTTCTATCTTTTTGTTACAATAAATTGTAAGCTTAAATACAGAAACTTGACTGAGTTCCTACAGACCTCTGGACAGGTTCACACATATATTTTAGACTTTTATAATAATAATTTTGAGGTACCCCTTCATAAAATAGATTTTTCTGAAGTATGTATGAATTTTTAATTTACACATGGGGTACCTTTCTCTTCTGTGTATAATTTTTAGTTTTATTAAATTATGTTACATTAACATTGCAAAGTTAATGAAATTTTTTTTAACCCCAAATATACTGGGTTGTTGGAAAAGTCATTACACATTTTTGCAACGAAACAGAAAAAGTACGTCATTACTTTCCCAACAACGCAATATTTATGTTTTGTTACCTAATTTACACTTCAGAAAAGGTTTATACGATATTTTCAGAGTACAGAGCTTAAAAATCCCTTATCACTATGTATTAGGCTCATGTCATAAAATATGCTATGCATATGTAGAGCAGGAGTCAACAAACTTTTCATGTTCAGGATCTGATGTTGAACATTTTAGTCATTGCAGGCCATATGAGCTCAGGTACAATTATTCAGCCATTTGGTTATACAAAAATACAGCTAGACCACATATACAAATAACCACGTTCCAAAAAAACTGTTACTTACAAAAATAGGTATCTAGCTGGATTTAGCGCGAGGAACATAATTTACCAACTCATGTTCTAGAACCTCAGTTGTTGTCCACCATATCTTGTGTGAAATGAGAGTAGTATATATAGGTCTATTATATCTAATGCTTGCTCTTTCTCCTCGTATCTTTTGCAGTTTTTAATAAATTTTCATGATGAGTTAACTGGCACACAGTATCTGCAGCCTTTACATCTCCTTTTTTATTATTATTATTTTTTTTGGAGGGCAGTGTAACTGGCCCTCATATGTGGGATCCGAACCGGGGCCCTCTGGCATCCCAAGCCAGTTCTTAACCATCGCGCCACTTGGCTGGCCCTACATCTCCTTTTAAATTATCTTCTTTAGCTTATTAAAGTCTCCTCTTCATTACTGTACAAATCTTAATCTGGATTGAAACCTTGTGCAATAGTTATATAAATTAAGCCTGAATGATTTTATGTTTATTGTCTTAATATTAAGTGTTTCATATTTTATTTTATTTTTTTTAAAGATTTTATTGGGAATTGGGAGAGGGAACAGCATTGGTGAATCAGGGAAGGGGAACAGACAAGTTGCTGTCATTTTGTTCTTCAGTCTAGTTGTGGAGTATGTCGCTTCACTAGCCCATGTTAGTATTGTGATCATTGCGCTCTTCCCAGCTGAGGCAGATCAGTCGCCGACCATTGGATGACCACTTACAGCGGCTCACGGCTGCTCATGCTAGCTGTCAGCCATTCACAGGCAGCCCCGGTGCAGCCTATGTTGTTGCTGGTGACTCATGGCAGCCCAGCTCCAGGTCGAGCTGTTGTTCACTATCTTAGCTGTAGAGGGCAGTGTCACTGGCCCACGTGGGATCCAAACCCACAGCCCTGCTGCTCAGAGCTCGCGCTCCCAAGCCAACTCTTAACCAATGAGCCACTTGGCCGGCCCCAAGTGTTTCATATTTTAAACTTTCCAAATTACTTTTAGGTATATCTCTTTCATATAATCTCATCCAATTTTTAAAAATAAGTTACTTTTACCCATTGACATTGATATGACAGTCATATCTATCTTAGTTTATGATATGCTATTTACATGTTAATGTTCACAGGATTTTTTGTGTGTGTATTTTTTTAAATAAAAACCCTTTTCAGTGATAGGTCTGTTTTATTTGTATTATTAACTGTTTTCCTTTTAATAATGAAAAAGGTTCCATTTTTGCATTTATAGTAGTACATTTATAGTAGTTACATTTATCATTTATAAATCTTCCATAATTCCTAATTATTTATTAATAAGGCCATATCTAGTGATTTCCAACTACACAACCACTACTCAAATTAGTGTGTCTCTTCTTGCTCTCATTTTCCATGTCTTAAACTTCCATTTTAATTGCTTTTATAATCTTCCTCTATATTTCACTTTATACTGGTTAAATATAAATTGATTGATTTGTTAGGTATAAATGTTATACTCTGTTCCCTAGTTTGAAAGATGAAAAAAATGAAAACAATTACACTGTATCCCTTATGTTACACTCTGCATACCCACATTTTATTGTATCTACTCATTTCTAAACTTTGAAAAGAACTCATTATAAGTGATCCCACTTTGTATTGAATTTGGATGGCAGAAGTGATACCTTCTACCAGTATTCTAAAACTCACCTGGATAACTCCCATTTAGAAATTTGTCCTCTACTAACAATGGCTCTTCTTGTTCCAACATAAACATCACTTCTGGTTCTATAGAGCAATACCCTGTAAATGGAAAATAATTTAGGACATGGGTTCTCTGCATGGGCTTTCATGTTTCTGAAAGTGAAGGAAGGTGCAGCTAAGAGTGGAACAGAAATGATACTCACTTGACCCCTTCTTTGGGAAGGTGAAGAAACAAAAATGTATTCAAATGTTTAAAAAGATCTCCTTAAACCCCTAAATCACAAGCCTAAGTAACACAGATTCTAATAAAAGTACAGGTTTATTAGCTACAGTGAGAGAGACAGCTAAGGAGATCTACGATAGGTTCCCTTGAAACTTTGATTGGATATTAATTCATTGACATATGTAAGGCAACTACCTAGGGGTGGGGAATTACCAGAGAAAAGTAAAATGAAAAATCACCAAAGCACACACAGAAGTGGAAAGTTTGTGACTCAAGAGTGGAGAGGTAAAAACATACTCAGTGAGACTCTTCATCAGAAAAAGTGGGGTGATATAATCTAATTACATAAAGAAAAGGACTATCAGCCAAGAATCCAGGAAATTGATCTTTCAAAGGTAAAGGCCAAATAAACAAGTACAGATGAAAAAAAATTGAGAGACGTTTGTTGCTAGCAGACCCATCTTACAAGATAAACTAAAGAAAGCTCTCTTGACTGATTTAAAAAGAAACTATATAAAACAATGAGTACATGTGTGTAATGCTGGGTTTCTAACACACCCAGATATATTTTTATTTCCCAATAAAACCATACAAGAGGTAGGTGAGAGTCAAGTTATACTAGACTAAAGAAATGATACCAAATGATAACTCAAATACAGAGTAACAAATAAAGAAAAACAAAAATTAACAATATATTTACATATATAACAACAGTTAACATATAACAATACCACAAAGGGCAAGGGAAGTGGGGAGGAGAAAGCTACATAGGAGTAACCTGTCTATACGACTCCAAAATTAAGTTAACATAAACTTGATGTAGATTCTGGTAAATACAAGTGTATATAGTAAACCCAAATAGAAAAACTAAAGAATAAACTCTAAAAAATATTGTGGAAAAAAACCATTAAAGAAGCTAAAATGTTATATTAAAAAATATTCACACACTACAAACAGTAGCAGAGAAACAGAGAACAAATCATGACATATGTAGAAAACAAAATGTAAAATGGCAGACAAATATCCAATTATATGAATAACATTAAATATGAAAGAACTAAACGACCCAGACACAAAGCAGAGATTGACAGACTAGATTAAAAAACAAAAACCAAAAAAAAACACAAAAAACGAGATCAACTACATGCTCTCTAAGGAGCTACATATTAAATTCAAAGTTAAAAACATGTTGAAAGTAAGAGAATGGAACTAGGTATTTCATGCAAACAGCAACCACAGGAAAACTATATACTAACATCAAACAAAATAGAATTTAAATTTAAAAATATTATTAGAGACAAAGAGAGATATTTACAATGACAACAGGTTAAACTCATCAAGAAGGTATTATAACAATTATAAGCATATACACATGTGACAATTCAGCCCCAAAACCATAAAGTTAGAACTGGCCAGTGAAAGGAAAAAGAGACAAACAATAATAGTTGGAGACTTCACTGTCACTCTGCAAATAATGGATACAGTAATTAGATAGAAAGTAGATGACTGGAACAGAGCTATAAACCAACTACAACACCTAACAGACATATATACGGCACACTCCACCCAACAGGAGCACAATTCACATCCTTCTAAAACGCACATAAAACAGTCTCAAGGACATGCCATTTACTAGAACACAAAACACACCTCAAAAAACTTAAAAGTGCAGAAATAATACGACTTATCTTTTCTAACCACAATGAAATGAAATCATAAAAGAGTAACAGAAATTTGGGAAATTCAAAATATGTAAAAATTGAACATGAGTCTCCTAAATAATTAATGGGTCAAAGAGGAAATTACAAAAGAAATTGAAAACATTTTTGGTAACTTAAATGAAACATACCAAAACTTACATGTTGAAGCAAAACCAGTGTTTGAAGGTAAATATATTCCTATAAAACTGTATACTTGACTCTTCAACAATACAGTTGCTGTGCAGCCAACCCACATGCAATTGAAAATCCACATATGAATTCTGACTCCCCAAAAATTAAGTCATAACTTGGTATCTGCAGAGGTTGGTCACAAGATGACTCCATCCCATGGATTCTAACATCCACAGCTGCTCAAGTCCCTTATATAAAATAACATAAAATAGTGCATACAGTCTGGGCGCTGTGCATCTACGGATTGCCAACCGCAGATTGGAAATACTGTTTTCAATGTACTGTTAGTTGAATCTGCAAACACAAAACCCAGGGATATGCAGGGCCAATTGCATATTTATTGAAACAAGATCCATGTAGAAGTGGACCCGTACAGTTCCAACTCATGTTTTTCAAGAGTCAAGTGTGCTAAGAAAGGTCTTGAGATTGGACAACCAAGATAGCAAAGTAGGTAAATGCTATTTAAGTTCTTTCACAACCACATAAAAATTACAACTGATCTACAAAACAACCATTATTGAGAATCACATAAAATCAGTCTGAACTGAAGCCTTTCAACTAAGGACTTGCAGAAGAAGCCACCTCCAGACTGGTAGGAAGGTCAGAGATGTGGCATGGGCGGGGCCCACACACACGTGTGACCATTAAAGATGGGGAGAGCTATTTCGGCTGTGGGGTCCCCTAAACGAGTGAGAGATTCCAGCCCCGCCCCAGCCCAGGGTTCCAGGGCCAGAGAAACGAGTCTCCTTAATTTTTGGTTGTGAAAACCAACAGAGATTGGGACTGAGTGTGACTGAGGGCGGCTGTTCTTACAGGCGCTCCTCTTAAAGGGACTGCGCGAGGGTTTACCCACCAATGGAATGACTCGCTCTGAGCTCCAGCACTGGGGCAGCTGCTGGAAAGGCATCAGGGACAAATGGTGGGGAATTGAGTTGTCTGGCTTCAGACGGGGGCTGGAGAGGTGTCTTTCTCCTGGACAGAGGAGCTGGCGGAGGCCACTGTTTCTTTGTTGGGCCCTCCCCCTTCCTGGCGTGCGAACATATGTGGCCACCATATCTGAGTCTCTGCTGTTAGTTCGCCACCTCTGGTGATTTGAGACTTGGCCCCGCCCAACTTTCAGGCACACCCAGGCTGCTTTCTGTGGCCACTTGCCTTGGCTCAAGCTGCACTTTCCTAGGGTCTCTCAAAAGTTTGCGGAACCCAGACAAGCAGCATCTGGCTTGAGCCTGTCCTGTGCCTCCGGCTGAGCAGCACTAATTTGGCACTAGCAGCAGCTATAAAGGAATATTATGAACAACTGTATGCCAATCTATAAGAGAAAAGGGGCAAATTCCAGGAATGATATAAACTACAGAAATTAACTCAAGAAGAAATAGAAAGTCTGAATAGCGTTATCATAAGACATTGCAAGTAACCTAAACACTACCCACAAAGAAAAGCCCATGCCCATGCAGTTTTACAGCTGAATTCTACCAAAAATTAAAAAAAAAAAGAATACCAATTCTCTACAAATTCTTCCAAATGACAGAAGAGACAATACTTCCTATCTCATTGACTGAGGCCAGCATTACCCTGATACCAAAACCAGATAAAGAGATCACAAAAAAAAACTACAGGCCAATATCTCTTATGAATACAGAAGCAAAAATCACCATCAAAATACTAGCAAACTGAATCTAGAAACATAATAAATGTATTATACACCATGACCAAGTGGGATTTATCTCAATATGCAAGGTTGGTGCAAGATCCAAAAATCCATCAATGTAATTCACCGTATCAATAGTTTAAAACACACAGTCCCCTTCATAGACACAGAAAAAGCATTATGACAAAACTCAACACTCTTTCAAGATAAAAATACTCAACAAACTAGTAACAGAATGAAACTTCCTCAGTCTCACACAGGGTATCTAAGAAAACCCCATAGCGAGCATCATACTTCATGATCAGACGCTGGAGCTTTCCCCCTAAGATTAGAAGACAGGATGTTCACTCTCAACACTTCTATTCACTATGGTACTATAGGTTCTAGCTGGGTCAATTAGGAAACAAAAAGAAAAGTTATACAGAGACGAAAAGAAGGCAGGAAGGCAGTGAGGCAGGGAGGATGACAAATGAAAGTATCTTACGTAGCAAGAATTCCAAATAGGGCTTTTACAAGTCAAACATCAACAATGGAAACGAACTCCAATTCACCTCTGATGTTTGATGACCAAACCTGCCATGTTCCACGTAATTTGATTTGAACTCATGAGCTAATATTGCACTCTATGAGGACTGCAGCCTGAGGTTGTAAAAAAAGTGAAAGTTGTTTGTTCAAGAGCCCAGTACTGTGTATTTTGAGAAGTGACATTAAGTGCTTTGGTCAACATCTGACATCTAGCACTTCAAGGAGATCAGGAGTGTCTCGATGACACCTTGTACTGTGGCTTTAGTATGGCCAGACTCATGTGTAACCTTGATTTATATGTTTGGGTATTAGTGAGGTAAGGTGTCCAGAGTTCGTTGCCCCAAAGGCGATTAACCTGGACAAGGAATTGTGGTTGTCATTGGTTGAACGACACAGCCAGTTCTTCGGCAAAGTCCCAAATGTCTGTAACACAGTACAAATGGGACCGATATTGCTAAGTGCATCGTCCAATGCCAAGATGAGGGCTTGAAGTTTGGCCAGCTGTACTGTCTTAGTCTCATCATGTATAATAAAAATCCCAGTTAAAGGAGGAAAAGCAGCAGCTCTCCAGAAAGTCTATTATGTGTCACACTGGCACTGCCATCTGCAAAATGTAGGAACTCCTTCTGGTGTTCATTCAGTTCATTCCCAGGAGGTTCCCAAGGGACTCAAGGGTCTGGAATACGGGTGACCTCCTCCAGTACTGTGCCATGTATCAAGGGACTGAGGACCGGGCAGGCCACCTCCTCCTGCATGTGGGATGTGCCAGAGAACTCATGTTTGTATCTGTTTTGTAAATACCACTGCCGCT